CACACACACACACACACACACACACACACACACACACACACACACACTTTAAGCAGAGAACAGTGGAGAAAATAAAAATGTAACAGAAGCCCTGAGTACCGTAATTTATGGACTATAGAGTGTGCCTGAATATAAGCCACGCCCACTTAATTTAAAAAGAAAAACTATTTTGTACATATATAAGGTGCGCTTGTCTATAAGCCGCGGGTGTCCATGTTGTAACATAAAATATTTACACAGAAAGATGTTACAGAGAAAGATTTTTTAACTTTTAATTAAATATGTACCAGTAACATACACAAATACATACAGTAAATGTTTTTTTTCTGAGCAGTGCCTGTAACACGGCTGGTGAAAAAAAAAAAAAAAAAAAAATATATATATATATATATATGTATATATATATGTATGTATATAGTAGCCTACCAGGAAAAGTCATTGAACACTATATTCATCTTCCTCCTGTGCACTAAAACCACTAAAGTTGTCTTCTTCAGTGTCAGAATTAAGCAGCCTCAGAAAAACTTCATCACACACGTCCTCAGTCTCTTTTTCATTGTCGCTCTCAACGTCACTTTTGTCTCAAGGCAAATGCACAATTTGATTTATGATTCACACTTATTTTGAGTGGCTGCAAATACTTTGTTTTGTACAACGAGGGAGGAAACTCCCGTGGGGAAACTCCCACAGGGAGGAGGAGAGAACGAATGAATGAAACCAAGTTTCATTGGTCCATGGGACCTGTTTGGTAATTTCATTGTCACTTTTTTACCTATATTTATACAGGTAAGCTCACTGAGTCACGAGGACCCATCTCGCTAAGAAAGACATGTAGCTCTTAGTCAGTGTCCGGGTGTGACGAGGCTAAAAGTTTTTGCAGCATGAAGCTCGTTAGCCGGTTTAAAAAAAATCCACAAATTAGCTGCAGCATTGTATAAGCCGTGGTGTTCAAAGCCTGTGAAAAAGTAAGGTCTTATTGTAGGAGTTGTGGTTTTGTCCCTGGTGTTGTGTTTATGTCTGTGTTCCCCTGATTCCGTTTCTGTTTTCTATAGGGTTTGTGTTTTCCTAGTGTATGCCTCCATCTGGTGTTGTGTCTCTGTTCCTGCACTCCCTGGTTTCCCAGTTTATCATTTCCCCTGATGTGTTTCAGCTGCGTGTCCTCACAGGTGTGTCGTCTCGTTAGGCACTGTATGTAGTCTGTGTCTCTGTGTTAGTGATCAGTCCTGGCATTGTCTACTGTTCACTTGTGATGACCCATCTGTATTGTGAGTACCCCCCTGATCATTATATGTTTGTTTTGCTGC